ACTACTGCATTTATCGTCCCTAAGTATGCTACAACAATGTTACATACTTCACTTCTGGGTCAAGCCTAAACACCACACATGTCCAGAAGAATTTATTCAAGCATGAAAGAAGACTGTCATCACTCGGTGTTGACCACTTTTATATCTTATATTTATTTTTTGATCATTTAACCTTGAGCAAGGTAATAAAGCCACCAAGATGTAGTGGGCAACTGAATGTCAATGAATATGAAAAAAGGAAGAAAATTGGGGAGAAAAATCAAAGAATACGAATTAAAAAGAAGATAATGGCTGATATAGCATTTCAATTTTTGGAGATTAAAGCTGGAGGAGAGTTCCACAGGCAAGAAGTGCGAGAGAAGAAGAAACTGTTAGCATAGAACTTACAGGTACATCTAACCATATCAACTGTAAAATGATGAAACCTTGCTGCCAATCTGGTATTGCTCTTAAAGTCTAGGTACCATAGAGGAAAGTAATATCCAGTGACAGGTCACAAAGAGTTGTGAGTTCAATATCTGGTTAAGGTAGTGGAGAACTTGGAGAGGAGAATTAACAGGAGATAACTGATAAATGATATCCATTAGACATGGCATGTGGAACTAGAACAGTCTACCCCAGTGAGTGAAATAAAGGATTCAGTTTGACATTTCAACCACCTGAAGAAGGCCGGAGAGTACAACGGCTGAAACATTGTAATAAATATGAGGACAATAGTATGAATAATGTAAATAGTACACACACACACACACACACACACACACACACACACACATATATATATATATATATATATATATATATATATATATATACAGTAATGTATACTACCTGTGATATCAGGATATAGAAAAAAACACAGGATAGCTATATTAGTTGTTTATTTGATTTAAATATTTTGGAAATATATTTATTTTTAGTTATTAATTTTTATTTATATATATAGTTATCTTCGATATATAATATTTATCTATATGTATATCTTATATATATGTTCATTTTGTACATATATATAAATATAGTAATTTATTATATTATGTTACATTGTTCAATTCTGAGTTGTGTTCAATGTTATTGTTTTAATTTACTTTAAGATTCCTTAAAAGGAAATAAAAATGGCCATGATAAGAATGTTTATTAATTTCAGTTGAAATTAATTATGAAAAGATGGACTGAGATAAACCAAAAACGTTATCTGGGTTTATCAGAAAAGAAAAAGCAACAATAAAAAGAAATGTTTATTTGCTGAATGGTAAAATTTGAACATTGACTCATTTGAATTCTGATGAAGGCCATTTTAACAAAGCATAAGCAGTTTATATAGGAAAATATATTGAGACTTGATGTAAGTAAAGAGATATCACACTTTTATCCAGTTTTCTTATTTAGTAAAGATGTTGAAACACACACACATATATAATATTTATTAAAAAACTATGACATAAGCATGCTATAAAATCACTACAAAAATAACCATTTTGTTTCAACACTTCTGGTGTTTTTGTTTTGTAACTGACAATACTCTTGCAGTATAAAAACGTTAGCTTCATGTTCAGGACATGCAGCCAAAAAGGTAAACCCAAATGAAGGGGGTCAGCTGTATCTCCTTTCAGGTGTCATTTCTTAAAAGCATATAAAGGCGTTATATTCAGATATACAATGGCGGTGACCATGTCTGCCTCAATGATAGCGAGTAAGGGAATCATTTGAATTGTCTCTATATGTTGTACTTCATCTAATCCTGATCGAATAAAATCTACAGAAATATTCTTTTCACACACAGAATTATGGTAATAGTAATAGTAATATTAGCCGTTTATTTTATGAATGGTAAAATTTGAACATTGACTCATTTGAATACTGATGAAGGCCATTTTAACAAAGTATAAGCAGTTTATATAGGAAAATATATTTGAGACTTGATGTAAGTAAAGAGATATCACACTTTTATCCAGTTTTCTTATTTAGTAAAGATGCTGAAAGCTTATTAGGAAAATAGATTAGAAAGAAAGTTTTTTTTTGAGATATAATTGACTCATATTTGATGATCATTTGTAAATTAAGTTAAAGTAATAGTTTTCTTCATTTTCATCAATAAAATCCCAATGAACAGTTATTTGAGTTTTAAGGTGAAAAAAAAAATCCTCATCTGTTTTAACCTCTTCATAATTAATGTACAGTTTGCCAGACAGAAAATGTTATAAATATCTGGAAATTGGAATTTTAAAATCTGAAATAGCAAGGATGAAAGAATTGTGCAGATGAGGTAAAAACTTCCATATTCAGAAAAGAAATGTTTTTTTCTGTCAGTATTTTACAATGTCTGCTCTTTCAATGTTATGCAAGAGTAATACAAGATTACATATGATGAATGAAACTCATTTTCCGAATGAAAACTGGTATATTGCTTCCAGTTGATGATATTACTGTATATGTTAGTGTACAAGGCAAACTTTAACCTTAAAATCCCCCCCCCCCCATCCAAATAGGTCTTATAGTCCAGATATAGAATGTGAACCTTAAATCCTGTGGTTTATGTGAAGTTGTTAGTATTGGAGATTTTTTATGGTAGGCTAGCCCCTGCCTTGGTAACTATCAACACAAATCTTTTCTACTGAAACAATTCGCATTCTTATGGTAAAGCAGAAGGAGTGGATGGTTAGTACAGAAATGTCATTCAGGCTACCATAATAGCCTACTAAAAACATAGCACAAACACATGAGGTATTGTAGATTGTGGTAGATAATTGACAATATCTCACCTCCTTTTTTCAATGATGATAGACAAAAACACAACTGGATGTGTGTCTCAACATGCCATTTAAAGATCATATTGAAAAACAGTGGAACAAATGAATGGTTAGTGGGAAAAAAGTCATTCAGGCTACCATAATAGCCTACTGAAAACACAGCACAAACACATGAGGTATTCTAGATTGTGGTAGTTAATTGACAATATCTCACTTCCTTCCTGATTGAAAACACAATGATGTTGAACAAAATCTTATTCACAACTGGATGTGGTTGTCTCAACAGGCTACCATAATATTTAACAAAGATGAAGTATCATATTAGAGAACATTGCAATGATGTTGAACAAAAACACAACTGGATGTGAATGCTATTTAAAGATCATATTTAGTGAATGGGAATAAGTCATTCAAGTTACTGTAATAACCTACAAAAAACACAGCACCCACTTATGAGTTATTTTAGATGGTAGTAGTTAATTGACAATATCTTCCCACAGATTTTTATTACAATTTGAGGGAAAAGAAAGTATATGCTTACCAAATTTATTTAATAAATTCAGTACATTTTAAAATATGATTTAGGGTGAGGAGGTCATCTTGTATGGCATTTGAACTTTTTAAACTTGAAAATTTGGGTGTTGTCTTATACAGCCATTGGCCTTGTATGCCAGCATATACAATATATCTCAGATTTGATTGTTTCATTCTAATTCAGCATTTTATGGTAGATGTTGTATTTCTTATCTCATCAAATGGTGGGAAAATACCATAATCAAAAATCCAGGGTCATAATTCCAAAGGTCATAAATCAATTTTGCAAGTCCAAAGCCAAAAATACTAGGGGTGTAAATTAAAAGGGGTAAAAAAATCCACAATTCACAATTCAACAACATCCACCTGCTTTCTTCACCCATGAAGAACAGAGAATCCCCATGTCATCCAAAGTAGCATTCTTTTATTAGGGTAAGAAAGTTCCAGATTGGTCCAGATTGGTAGCCAAGTGTAAAAGTAGTATATTTTGAGGCCAACTAAAGTAAATCCAATCTTGGTTTTGATTTTCTTTTTCAACAAATAGCAGAGATAACATAAATTCTTTTTTTGAGGTAAGACTTTGTTGCCACACAAACATAGAACATTATCTTATCAGGGTAAAATCCTTGTTTTGGTACAAGCACAGGTTTTTATTTTTGTATTGGAAATAACATCTTTTTTACTGTATATCTTGATAAAGGAAGTCACATTTCAATGCTGATGGCAACCTTTCCCAGAAATCGTTTCTGTAGCACCTTTTGTCCTTAATGATGGACAAATGCAAACTCTCTGATTACAATCTGGTCAGATCATGGGAAACCAATTGGTCAAGTTTTGACACTTATGAGTTATGGTTGCTCTCTGGATTGTATTGAACTGCTGGGCCATTTCTCATGGCATCAGTTTTGGATTTTCTTTAATTAGGAAACTTTGAATGTCATTTGAAGTCAGTCACCCAGAACAAATGGAATCTTTGAGAAGATTCCCCAATTGAATATGAGTGTACCATCACTGGCATTTCTCAAGCATTTTCCCTTTAGCAAGTAGATTTCTCTGAGGTGGAGTTGCTATACCTGCATTCGAGCCTGTTTTGAAGTCTCTTTGTCTAGTTTTTCTTCTCCTAGACTGGTTACCAATCAAAGTTAGAGTTTCATTCTGTAGGAGATTTGTATTAATTTTATAAATTCTCTTGTAGAATATAGAGTCAAAGCCTCATCAGAACAAATATTGCTGCTTACGTTTTCGTAGCAAGTACATTTCTATGAAGTGGAGTTACTATCCCTGCACCCATCCTGTTTTGAAGTTTCTTCATCTATTTTTCTTTCTCCTAGACTGGTTGACAAACAAAGCTAAAGAGTCATTTTGTAGGAGGTTGTAATTAATTCTGTAGAATCTCCTGTGGTGTATAGGACAAAAGCCTAGTCACACTAAATATTGCTGCTGTATATTCTGTTGCAAGTAGATTTCTCTGAAGTGGAGTTGCTATCTCCACACCCATTCAGTTTTGAAATCAGAATTGTCCTACTAGACTGGTTGCCAAACCATTCTAATTTTTTATTGGAGGAATTTCTTATATTTCTTATCAGCTTGCATGATTTCCATCTTTGGCAGCCTGTATTTAATGTGAAGTCATTGTTTGGTCAATTACTTTTATTAGAACTTGTATTATGATATGTTTGCAAAGGATGATTAACGATAATTAAAATTAAATATACAATGATTCTTAACCTTTATTCTTTCTTCTTTCATCTCCTCAAATTTCCTTTCTTTCTTTTTCTCTCTTTCTCTTTCTCTGTATTTTTCATTATCCTTTCCTTCTCACAAATCTCCTCTTTTCTTAACTTTTTCTTCTTTCGTGTCTATTTTGCCAATTCTTTTTTATTCATTCTTTCATCTTCTATTCCTTTGTTCGTTTTTCTTATCATGCACTGTTTTTAACTTCCTTTCTTTTCCTTTTTCATTCTTTCTTTTTTCTCTTTGATTTTCATTTTCTTTCACTTTTTCTTTCCTGAATCTTTTGCTCTTTTAGTTTTTCTTTGTTTTTTTTTATCTCATTCCATCTTTACTATATATATTCCTCAATGTTCTTCTCTCTTTTATTCATCTCTTCTTCTTCTTTTTTTTCCTGTAGTACTTGTGAAGGCACAGTGGAGTAATGGTTATTGGCTTGGATTGAGGAATCAGAGAGCCAAGTTCGAATTCCAGTCAAATCAATTACATTCTCTTATATGCTAATACCCTTGAGAAAGTTTACCCATCTAGGGTAAATAGCATGATAGGACCAGGTTCTATAGCTTTGGATGGCAACTGGTCTGCCACAGAAAGAAATGGCAACCTACTGCGGGAAAAAATCTGCCTCATCAGTCATGTATCTTTTTCTTCTTCTTTTTCTTCTTCATTGTTCTTGTCCTTCTTCTTTTTGATCTTCTTGTAGTGTTTTTGTTGATCAGCATATTCTTCTTGGACTGGATGTTGTTTTTCATCTTTTTCATGTGTTGATTACATTATATTTTCTCTTCATTTTGTGGAGAATGTTGTGCCTCTTCATCTTCTTTTTCTTGGGATTGTAGTCATTAGTGTTATTCATGATATTCTAAATTGTCTTCTCCTGGAGGTGGTCAGGGGGTGGTTTGGGTGGTGGTGGTGGTTTCGGCAGCGGTTGTTGTTGTTGTTGTTCTTCTTCTTCTTCTTTTTTATTGTTCTTCTTCTTCCTTTGTTCGTTTTTTTCTTATCATTGTTTTTTAACTTCCTTTCTTTTCCTTTTTCATTCTTTCTTTTTTCTCTTTGATTTTTATTTTCTTTCACTTTTTCTTTATTTTACCCCAATTTCTTCATCATATCTTTTTCCTCATCTTTTCCTCTCTTTTGTTTTTGTTCTTTACCTTTTTCTTCTTCTTCTTCTTCAAGCATTTGTTGTTGTTACTCTCCTCTTTCTTCTTTTCTTCTTTTTTCTTCTTCTTCTTCTTCTTCTTCTTCTTCAGGCATTTGTTGTTGTTGCTCTCCTCTTTCTTCTTTTCTTTTTTTTTCTTCTTCTTCTTCTTCTTCTTCAAGCATTTGTTGTTGTTACTCTCCTCTTTCTTCTTTTCTTCTTTTTTCTTCTTCTTCTTCTTCTTGTTCATTTGTTGTTACTCTCTTTCTTCTTTTCTTCTTTTTGTTCTTCTTCTTCTTCTTCTTCTTCTTCTTCTTCTTCAAGCATTTGTTCTTCAGGCTCTCCTCTTTTTCTTTTCTTCTTTTTCTTCTTTTCTTCTTCTTCTTCAAGCATTTGTTGTTTGTTCTCTTCTTTCTTCTTTTCTTCTTTTTTCTTCTTCTTCTTCTTCTTCTTCAAGCATTTGATTTTTTTCTTCTTTTCTTCTTCTTTTTTCTTCTTCTTCTTCTTCTTCTTCTTCAAGCATTTTTGTTAAGTTCCTTTTTGTTCTTTTCTTCTTTTTCTTAAAAATTTTTCCTTTCTGTCATTTCTCTTCCTCTTTCTTCTTTTCTTCTTTTTTCTTCTTCTTCCTTCTTCTTCTTCAAGCATTTGTTGTTGTTACTCTCCTCTTTCTTCTTTTCTTCTTTTTTTTCTTCTTCTTCTTCTTCTTTCATTTGTTTTCTCTCCTCTTTCTTCTTTTCTTTTTTTTTTCTTCTTCTTCTTCTTCTTCAGCATTTGTTGTTGTGCCATCTTCTTCTTGTTTTTCTTTTCTTCTTCTTCTTCTTCTTTTTTCAAGCATTTGTTGTTGTTACTCTCCACTTTCTTTTTTCTTCTTTTTTTTCTTCTTTTTCTTCTTCTTCTTCTTCAAGCATTTGGTTTGTTCTCCTCTTTCTTCTTTTCTTCTTTTTCTTTTCTTCTTCTTCTTCTTCTTCAAGCATTTTTTTTTTCTCCCCTTTTCTTCTTTTCTTTTCTTCTTCTTCTTCTTCTTCTTCAGGCATTTGTTGTTATTTTTCTTTCTTCTTTTCTTCTTCTTCTTCTTCTTCAGGCATTTGTTTGCTCTCCCTTTCTTCTTCTTTCTTCTTCTTTTCTTCTTCTTCTTCTTCTTCTTCAGGCATTTGTTGTTGTTGCTCTCCTCTTCTTCTTCTTCTTCTTTTTTCTTCTTCTTCTTTTTTCTTAGGATTTGTTGTTTTTCTCCTCTTTCTTTTTCTTCTTCTTCTTTTTCTTCTTCTTTTTTCTTCTTCTTCTTGTTGATTTTTGTTGTTGCTCTCCCCCTTCTTTTTTCTTCTTCTTCTTTTTTCTTCTAGATCAAGCATTTGTTGTTTTCTCTTTTCATTTTTCTTTTTTCTTCTTTTTCTTCTTTTCTTCTTTTCTTCTTAAATTTGTTGTTGGTTACTCTCCTTTTCATTTTTTTTTTTTTCTTTTCTTCTTCTTCTTCTTTTCTTTTAAGCATTTGTTGTTATTTTTCTCCTTTTTCTTTTCTTTTTTTTTCATTTCTTCTTTTATTTTGTTGTTGTTCCTCTTTCTTCTTTTTTCTTTTTCTTTTCTTTTCTTTTCTTTTTTGTAGGCATTTGTTTTTTCCTCTTTTTCATTTTCTTCTTTTCTTTTCTTCTTCTTCTTCTTCTTCAGGCATTGTTGTTATTGCTCTCCTCTTTCTTCTTTTCTTCTTCTTCTTCTTCTTCTTCTTCAGGCATTTGTTGTTAGATCCCCCTTTTTCTTTTTTTTCTTCTTCTTCTTCAGGCATTTGTTGTTGTTGCTCTCCTCTTTCTTCTTTCTTCTTTCTTTTTTTTTCTTCTTCTTCTTCTTCTTCTTCTTCTTATTTTGTTTTATTTTCCTCTTCTTTTCTTCTTCTTTTCTTCTTCAGGCATTTGTTTTTTGCTCTCCCCCTTCTTCTTCTTCTTCTTTTTCTTCTTTTCATCTTTTCTTTTTTTGTTGTTTTGCTCTTCTTATTTTCTCTTTTTTTTCTTCTTGTGATTTGTTTTTTTCTTCATCTTTTATCTTCCTGAAGTATATTTCCATAAGTTCCTGTCATTTGTAGCTCTTAAAAAATTTTGCCTTTCTGTCATTTCTCCTAAATCCTGATCTACCATCCATTTACTCAAGCTTCTTCTTCTTCTTTTTCTTTATTTCCTTATGATTGCTGTTTATCTTTCTTCTCTTCATTCAGATTTATTTCTGCCATCTTCTTCTTGTGCCTTTCTTCTTCTCCTCCATCTTTTTTTAAGGCTTGATGTTGTTTTACATCATGTTATTTTTTCCACTACTTCATCTGGTTTGAAGTGGTTGTTTATCATTGTCATCTCCTTTTTTTTTTTCTAGATTATTTTTCTCGTTTTTTCTTTTCTTTTCCTTCTATTTTTTCTTCATTTTTCTTTTTTCTGCTTTTAATTTACTTCATTCTCTTCCTTTTTTTGTAGATATATTTTTCTTTTTTCTTTGTCTTTTTTAATTTTCTTTTGTTGATGCTGTGATTGTTTTTCATTTTCTTTTTTCTGTAGATGTGTTTATCTTTTTCATTTTTTCTTCTTTCTTTTTTTTCTTTTTCTTCTTTTGTGTTAAATGTATATTTTCATTTTTTATTTTTTTGTAAATATATTTTTCTTTTTTAATTTCTATGCATTTTCTTCTTTTTTTGTTTCTTTATATTTCTTTTATTTTTTGTTTTTCTTTTTTTTCCTATTTTATTGCTTTTCATTTTTTCTTTTCCTTCTTTATTTTTTTTTCATCTTTTTATTTTCTTCTTTTGTCATTATTTTTATTTCATTTTCCTTTTTTGATGGATTTTGTTCTTGCTTTTTTTTTGCTTGCCATTGCTTTTCTATTTCATTTTTTATTTTTTCTTGTTTTTAATTCTTATTTATCTTGTTCTTGTCTATTTTTGTTTTTCTCCTTTTTATATTTTTAAATAACCCATAGAGGTCTAAACTATAATTAAGTCTTTTTTGTTTTTTCTAGTTATTTACTCTCTTCTTTTTTTCATAGACATCACTTTCTTCTTTAAGTATTTGCTGTTTCTATTTTTCATCTATATCTTTTTACATATATATATATTTTTTTTTTGTTTTTTTTTCTTCCTTTTATTGTCATTCTTTCTTTTTTTTTCATCTCCTTCAAAATCATCTCTTCTTTGTTTCTGTGATTCTTTTTCATTGATTTCCCTCCTCTTCTTATTCTATTTTTCCTTCTGCTTATATTTTATCTGCTTTAAGTTTATTTTCTCTATCTTTTTATAGTACTGTTATTCTTCTCCTCCTTCTCCTCCTCCCTCTCCCCCTCCTTCTTCTTCTCCTCCTCCCCCTCCTTCTTCTTCTCCTCCTCTTCCCTCTTCTTATTATCCTCCTCTTCCTCCTCCTCCACTTCTTCTCCTCCTCCTTCTTATTCTCCTCCTCCAACTCCTCCTCTCCTCCTTCTTCTTCTTCTTCTTGGAGTAGCTGTTTTTGTTCATTATCTTCTTTTCTTTGTTGTTTGTTTTTTTTTCTTTCTTTATTTTACCCCAATTTCTTCATCATATCTTTTTCCTCATCTTTTTCCTCTCTCTTTTTTTTTTTTTTTGTTCTTTTCCTTTTTGTACACATTTCCTTTTCCTTCTTTTTTTTTTAACGATTTTCTTCCTTTTCCATTGTGAGTTTTTCATGTCATTATATTTCTTTCTTTCTTTGTGTTGTTATTCTCTCCTTCCTCTTCACCTCAATTTCATCATCACATCTTCTTCATTCTAGTATTCTTTTTCCTTGTCCTTTTCGCTCCTTCTTTTGTTATTTTCCTTCTTCTACACTTTTTCTTTCTCCCCTTCTTTTATTTCAACAAACTCTGAAATCCTTTAATAATACATTAATCTACCCCACCAACAACTCCTCTGGCCATTTTTTTATGTTCTACAAAGCAATGAGCCAATGGTATTCCTGGCCTCCCCTGTATGGGGCTAGTCCAGTCATCTAACCAGCCATTCAACCAGGAAACCAAAGAATTCCCAGTCGGTATCATGATTAAATGCTATGCTAAACATCTTTGACTTAGCTCTAGTGAACCAAAACAGTTCTTCAAGCAGCCAGAGTTAATGTCTTAATGTCCAAGGATACTTGGACAACAAATAGAATCTTTACACATGGCTCCCAAAATCAGATGGACACTTTACTATGAGGGGGGAAAGGTTTGCTTTCAATTTTCAGAGAAAGAGAAAGAGGATGAGTATTTGTAAGGGGAATTTTTAGGTTTTTAAATCTTATGTTCTTTTTGATTTGTCATCTGAAACTAGGCATAATTGAAGGATTTATCATTTTTGTCTGTATGCAAATATTACTCACAGATAGATAGATTGATAGATAGATTGAGATAGATAGATATGAAGAAATTGAGATAGATAGATTGAGATAGATAGATATGAAGAGATTGTGATAGATAGATGGATTGTGATTGAGATAGATAAATACAAAGAGATTGAGATAGATAGATAGATAGATAGATAGATAGGTACAAAGAGATTGAGATAGCTAGATAGATAGATAAAGATAGACAGATAGATATGAAGAGATAGATACATATATAGATACATAGATATGAAGAGATTGAGATAGATAGATTGAGATAGATAGGTTGAGATAGATAGATAGATATGAAGAGATTGAGATAGATAGATTGAGATAGATAGGTTGAGATAGATAGATAGATATGAAGAGATTGAGATAGATAGATTGAGATAGATAGATAGATATGAAGAGATTGAGATAGATAGATTGAGATAGATAGATATGAAGAGATTGAGATAGATGGATTGTGATAGATAGATACGAAGAGATTGAGATAGATAGATAGATAGATAGATAGATAGGTACAAAGAGGTTGAGATAGCTAGATAGATAGATAAAGATAGACAGATAGATATGAAGAGATAGATACATATATAGATACATAGATATGAAGAGAGATAGATAGATAGATAGATAGATAGATAGAGAATGACAGAGAGATGTATAGGATCAAAATGAGATAGATAGATGCATATATATATATTTCAATAAAGGTGCAATCAATTTACAAATTCATGAATTATTCATACAAAAAACAAAGGTTAATGATTTAATTGGCAAGAAATCCATCGTCGCGAACAATTCAAATAATATACAAAAACCCCAAATCTGTTTATGAATGAAAAAGAATTCGCTTATCACCATATTTGTATAAGAACGCACAATTGTAAAATTTAAATTCAAACTCAGCGTTGCGACAGCTCGCTCCAAAAATAATAACTCATTTCTAATAGCATTTTTCGGATTACAACAGTACATATATTTTCGTTGTCCTCTTATTACTAAGAGAAAAAACAAGAGCAAAATCTATTCCATACCTGAGGATGTCTGTAGGAACAGACGAAAGCTTGTAAAAATAATAAGAACTCATGCAGCAGGAATTTATAAAAACAAGGATCTTTTCATTCATAAACAGATTCGGGGTTTTTGTATATTATTTGAATTGTTCGCGACAATGGATTTCTCGCCAATTAAATCATTAACCTTTGTATTTGTTTTTTGTATGAATAATTCATGATAATATATATATATATATATATATATATATATATATATTAGATGAAATGTATTAAATCCAACAAATATTCTAATATATATTCTGTTTATATGTTATTTTTATGGATACAACTTATTTGAGTAAATTCTCTGTTTTTTTAATAAAAAAGTATTAATTACATTTACCGGTCTGAATGTTCAAGAAATTTCATAGAAAATATGCATTCTCTGACAGGAATCAAACCTGTATCTCATATGGAAACTATCATTTAGACTGACATGGTGTTAACTATTCAACCACAGAAAAGTTAGTAAAGTCCAAATTACTGCTTATAAACACACATCTTCAATGATCTTTCTCAATAATTCATTTCTGCTCTGAAATGTAACCTAATGTAAACAAAGATAACATATTCAATAACATGGATTAAAACTGACAAATATTTTAATATATTTTCTGTTTATACTTTATTTTTATGGGTAGAATTTATTTGAGTAAATGCTCTGTTTTAATTAAACAGTATTAATTACATTTACTGGCCTGAATGGTTAATGCCATATTAGGCTATATAATAGTTTCCTTATAAATACAGATTTGATTCCTGTCGGAAAATGCATATTTTCTACAAAATTTCTTGAACATTCAGGCTGCTAAATGTAATTAATACTGTTTTATTAAAACAGAACATTTACTCAAATAAGTTGTATCCATAAAAATATTGCATAAACAGAATATATATATGTGTGTGTGTGTGTGTGTGTGAAAATATATAGAAAATAGAAAAGGACTTGTTAGGTAAATAATCCAAAGTTCTTTAGTATTTTTGTTATTATTTTTAAAAACAGTGCTCGATACAGAAGTAGAGCCTAAATATAACTATTTATTTAAAAATATAATTCCAATGCTACATAAGAGTTCTCATGTTTCAAAACAATAGCTGAAAACTTCAATATGATTATTTGAATTAAATTGAATTAAAATACCAAGCTTCAAGCAAAATTTTTTGGAACATTTCCAAAAAAATTTGCTTGAAGATGGAACAGAGCTTGGTACTTTAATTCAATTTAATTCAAATAATCATATTGAAGTTTTCAGCCCTTGTTTTGAAACATGAGAACTCTTATGTAGTGATTGAATCATATTTTTAAATTAATAATTATATATATATATATATATATGTATTATTTATTATCTGAGATTAAAACAAAAACGTGAAAAATATTTCACTCTCTTTATGGTGGAGCACTTTTTATATTTACTTTTAATACATAAACATGGATAAAACCAATTTTGGCATTTCTCAAAAAAACATTCCCAATACAAACAAACAGGAATATTTTGAAAAATTGGTCTTAAAAACTGAAGATTTTATCAGTCATATGAGATGGAAAATTCATTTCTTCCTTCTAGATCAAGAGTTTTCGAATAAAATTGATTTTTATGCTTTCAAAAGTTTGAAAACTGCACCCCTAATTGAACACTTGTATTGTTTTGAAAATGATTTTTTAGCCATCAAGCATCTCTTTCCATAAAACAAGATTCATTTTCAGAGACATTTAGACAGTATTGTAAAAGTCAGACAAAGTATTTGTTAAATCTGATAAAATAGCTAATTTCTATAAGTTTAATCCTGAAGAATATAATGTTTTAATTAAAAATAATTTAACTAAAAATTACAGAAAGGTAGTTGATGAAAATGATACTGCGAGTAAAACTATTACTGACAGGCTTAAAATAAGCATTAGAGGAAGTAAGCTTTATACCAAGGAATCATATCTTCTGATTAAAGATTATAAACCAGATTTTGAAACTAAAATTCCTACAAGGATTATCAACCCTACCAGTACTGAAATTGGAAGAATTAGCAAGGTTATCCTTGATAAAGTCAACAAACAGATTAAACAACAACTTGAACTTTTACAGTGGGCTTGTACCACATATGTCATCAGCTGGTTCAAAGGGATTAATAATAAGATGAACTGTTCTTTCATCCAATTTGATACTGTGGACTTTTATCCATTGATTTCCAAGGACCTGTTCACCTTAGCTTTGGAGTTTGCCAAAGAATATTCCAATATTTCCAACGATGAACTGGATATAATATTAAACTGCAGATCTGTTCTTATTCACAGTAATGAACAGTGGGTAAAGGACAATTCTGATGATCACTTTGATATTTCTATGGGCTCATTAGATCCTGCAGTCTTCTGACCTGGTGGGTTTATTTATTATATATAATCTGAGTGCTTATGATGATGTTAGTATTGATAATATGTTAGTAAAAAATTCTACTAAAATTAGGGTTGAAAAATTAAGAAAAACGATATATAGAGAATTAAAAAGCCTAAATCTTAGTTAAAATCACTACTAATGTGAAACAGGTAAATTTTCTGGATGTTACATTAGATCTAGTGAATGATGTATTCTAACCTTAAATGAAGGCCAGTGCCAACCCAATGTATATTCACCTGAATTCTAACCATCCTCCATCTGTAATTAAACATATACCCTCCTCTATAGAATATAGCATTATCAATAACTCTTCTAGCAAAGATGTTTTCAATAAGTATAGTAGTGTTTATAATACCGCCTTAAAAATAGTGGTTACAAATATACTGAAATCAAGTATAGACAACATGATAATAATGATTGAAGAAAAAAAGAATAGAAACAGAAAAATCATTTGGTACACACACCCATTTAACCAAATGGTTAGTACTAAGTTAGGGCAGAAGTTCCTCCATTTAATTGATAAGCATTTCACCAGAAATAATCCACTCAGTAAAATATTCAACAGAAACACACTAAAACTAGCTATAGCTGCACTGATAACCTTGAAAAAATTATAAAAAACCATAATAATAAAATTTTAAGCAGATATAAAAACCTGAGTAATAATGTTAATTCCAAGATAACTAATATCAGTAATACTAACAAAAGTAATTGGAGAAATTCTAACAATTGCCCACTGCAAAACAAATGTCTGACCAACTCTCTTCATTACCTAAGTACTATTTCTACCACAGAGAATCCAACTGTTGAAAAATTTTATATAGGGAGTACTAAGAATTCTTTTAAAACTAGCTGGTGTACCAACATATCCTATCTTTCACTAGTAGCACCATATAGAAATAGAACATCTCTTTAAAAGAGGTCAATAAAACTCCTATAGTTAAATGGAAAGTTTTAAATAAAGCTAGAGCTTGTAAATCATTAAATCAACCTTGCTTCTTATGCTTACATGAGAAATTAGAAATTATTAGATTTGCTGATAAAATTCTCTATTAAACTAAAGAAGAGAATCAACTGTAAATTGTAGGCATAGCTTACCTTTCACCTTACAGTATGGCTAAACTTTAAATTTGCTAGTATGATCATAATAAGTAAGTAAAAAATGTGGTGCATCTTCTATGAAT